AGAGAGAGAGAGAGAGAGAGAGAGAGAGATAGAGAGAGAGAGAGAGAGAATATGAATATGAAAGTAGAGAATATGAAAGGAGATTATATCTAGAATGTGGCAAAAGAATGTTACTGGTTTGCAACATAAGTAGCTGTAATTGGACGTACATGGTTCTTAACTAAGGTAGCTAAAGCTGCAGCTAGATAGCCAAATTGAAATGGGCTGGATCAGGCTAAACAACGTTGCACAGAGTCATAGTATGCCATTTGGTGCAATCCTTGTGTGTGAATGCAAGGATTATACCAAATGGCATACCACTCCTCTGTGCAGTATGCCATTTGGTGTGGTTTTAGTCAGGAAGCCAGACCACACTTCAGGCAACCCTATGTGGCCCTTCCTCTCTAAAGAGGAAGAAAAAGAAAAGAAAATATAGTAAGTATAACGAAACAAAAAAACAGTTTCTACGTCTTGTCTCTTCCTCCTTTAGAAAGGAAGATTTCAATTTTTTTAAAAAAATCTCAAAGACAAGGTGCATCAGCATTAACATACAGGGTGCTGTCTGCACAGACGGGCTGATTTGCAATTACAGTGGTACCTCACTTAACGAGGATAATCCGTTCCAGCGAAATCGCTGTAGAGCGAAATCTTCATTAAGTGAAATAAAAAATCCCATTGAAACGCATTGAAAACCCGTTCAATGCGTTCCAATGGGCTGAAACCTCACAGTCCAGCGAAGATCCTCCATAGGGGCGGCCATTTTCGGTGCCTGTAAAGCAAGGAATCCATCCAAAAACACAGCGGGGAGCCATTTTTACCAGCGGGCAGCCATTTTGAAGCCGCGGATCAGCTGTTTTAAAAACATTATCCAGCGAAAAATCAGTTTCCGAAGCAGGGAAGCGAATTTTGCCTATTAAAACATTGTTTTGCGATCACAAAAGCGATCGCAAAACAGTCATCGTACAGTATAGCGGTTTTGTCTTTTAACGAGGCAATCATTAAGCGAGGCACCACTGTATACATACTTTGTCTGGTCACCAGGAAAAAGAGTGAACCACCCCATTCTCAGAATGGACCAAACCACAGGAGAAATCCCATCTAGTCACAATGAAACTTTAGTATCCAGAAGGCCATGTGCTATGTGATGGAGATGCCAAGCTTCAGGCCAGAGCAGTAGGCACGTATATGTAGAAACCTATGTGTGCTTCAGCACAGGTTGCTGGATTTAGGGCTGGCTCCAATTTGAGTCCCAGCCCCAGCTGAGGTTTCTCATGGCAACTACGGCTTTGTATAAGAAACTGTTTTTCCTGTTAAATTTCTTACAACACCTCGGAGACCACAATATAACATACCTATGTGGGGTTCTTGGGCACTGTGGAAAATTTAATATAGAGAAATTTAATGGGGGGGGGGAACCCTTAGAAATTTTCAGAGCAGTTTTCCATACCTCTATCACTACGAGCCACAGTGCTTCCTGGGAGATGCAAGGGTTCATAAGAGGGGTTGTCGCACCGCCCATTAGGCTCTATAGAGGGCTTTTCCTGAAGAACTACCCCTCCCATGTAATCTTGTGAATCCTAGGGGGCACCAACTCAGTCTCCTTTATTGTGGAAGGAGATTTGTGGCAATGGAGGCCTACCTGTAGGTAAGGAAAGTTGCTCTGTAAAGTGGTATTTGACTGTATATCCCATAATTTGGCTTGGGGGAATTTTGGCCAATTCTGGAAGTACAGTTTAAAAAAAGGTCCAGAAGTGCCACTCCTAATGAACATATCAGAGAAAATGAGGGTTAGTTTGCTTATTTAATATCAGTTTTATAAACTTCACAACAGTGGTTCAAGTTGGCAGGTAATCTTCATGTGGAGCCAATTTATGGGCCATTCTAATAAGCTGTAACACATCCAGTCCCATTTCTTGTGATAAATGTCTGGGTCAGTTCAGGTTTCCCATTATCCAGTGTATTTTGAAGTATACTTAAGAGGCCTTGAGACTGAAGAGGCTGTGGCAGGAAAGTATAGACAAAAGGGAAGGCTCCTGTTGTCAGCCAGAAGACGAGACCACCCTGTGTAAAAGCTGAAGAGCAATCCTTCAGTTTATCAAGGAAGCAAGCAATTTGTTGCTATCCAGTTGGCATTCCCTCATTGTGTAAGTTACAATGGCCTTCCCCTCTCCCCCCCCCCGACACTCAGATTTCATATTTTTGTGTGATAAGGCAGGGTGGGAGAGATTTTCTGCAACCATTGTTAAAGACTGGAAATGTTCCTTTTGGACTGCAATTCCGAGAGGACAGTGGAAATTGTAGGCCGAACCACCACCTTCCCAAGCTCTGGACTTACACAACTCAGCATACAATAGATAAGAGATACAAAGATTTCTCAACTTCTGGCAGTTCACCTCTAAAAGTCACACCATTTTTGCAACTGCAATAGGATTTCATCCACCACGGCATAAATTCTCTTTCAGATTCCCATGGGTATCATACCCAGGTGCCCTCTGTTTCATGAGGTGGACATCCAGCAACTTTAGCTGCTCCATCCCCAGCAGGCTGCACACTTACAGGATTAAGAGCGAGCTCTTATATGACAGGATCTTGGGTGTCTCATTGCTCTGCTGGGGAGACACAGAAGGCTCACACCCAGCACATTCCATATCTGAATACTATCATGACACAGTAAACGAGGCCCAAAAGAAGAATGTGATGATAGTAGGTTGTGCTAGAGCTTGGACGTGTTCTTCTTTTGGACTGCAACTCCCAGAATCCTAGGTAGGGGATGTGGCTGGGGCTTCTGGGGGTTGTTGTTTTACAAGTAACTTTTACAAGTGCTGTCCTCTGAAGATGCCGGCCACAGAGACTGGCGAAACGTTAGGAAGAACAACCCTCAGAACACGGCCAAAGAGCCCGAAAAACCCACAACAACCAATTTTTCTAAACTCTGCATTATGCATGCTGCTTCCTTCTTTGTCCTCTGCCATGGAATTTGAGTCACTTTAAGACACTCGGAGCTTTTGAATTTTATTGTCCATTTTTTTACCTGTAAAGAGAATAAAAGCCACAAAGCAGAAGCTGTGAAGCGGGCATGTAAAACGAGTTGTTCTCCCCTGGTTTGATGTAGCATGAGAAAAGAGGGCTGTGGGTGCTGTTTTTCCCTGAAGGCATTGCTAATCTGTGGATAAGCCTTCAGGGAGAATGTTACTCCATTTCCTTTCACTGGAAATAAATGCTGTGATTATTCATAACTGTGTAACCGGATGCCGGAATGATCCCTTATCACTAATTGAATTCCTGGCACAAGTGCAGCGAGGCTGTTGCTGAGAGGGAGGGAGGGAGGAAAAGAGAAGACAGAGAAAGAGACCAGGTTCCCTAACCAGCCTTCTGGCAGAGGATTGTCGTCTGGTGTGATACGTAATTTAGGGTGTAATCAGTGTGGAGAACTCTGTGCGTCAGAAATTGCGCTTCTGCATACCGTAATGTAACTTTCGTCCTATGTGAAACTGCAGCTTTGAAGATAATGAGCAATATGTATCAACTTTATGTTTCTCTCTCTCTCTCTTTCGGTCTTAATTCTTTCTACTGGTTTTTAACTTAATTGAAAATCCAAATTAGCAGTTCTGCTGCACCCAATTTGTACTGAGTATTAAACAGGTATCAAACACTTCAGCTCATAGGCATGGAATGGAATATTCCAGAGGCTGGAATTTCTCTCTCATTGTTTTTAAAATAGGAAACAGCAACTTGTGACATGCTAATGTTACTCATTATTTAACAGTTCACTTTTAAGCAAGTTAATTTTTAGTTACTTCTTTTAAAAAATGGGGAAAATGCAAAGACAAACAATTACCTCAACAAAAACAAAGTCCTATCAAATAGCGCAGAAAAACAATATTATAGGAGAAACTAGTAAATATTACACATTATATCCCTAAATGCCAAAATAACATTACGGGTTATGTTCCTTTTTAAAAGTAATGATGTTGGAAACATTTCAAGAAGGTACAGCTAGTGCTGTTACTTGTAATGCCTCCCTTCCAACCTCTGGGATATCACAGGCTTTTTCTGTAAGTGTTTAAAGTTTCATTGATTATAGCTAAGGAGGGACTAGGCAACCTCTAATTCCGTTTGCACAAAAGTCATCTTCCTTTCACCTTCAACATTTCAGCCAGTGAGTGCAAGGACAAATAGATGATTAACAAGCAATTGAGACTTTCTGTTTTTAATCAGTGCCAGCCCATATGTATTTAGTGGTTTGAAATGGAATCCACATGGTGTGTATCTTTCCTTTTGCTGTTAGGACTAACATTTACTCCATCCAGAGATGAATTCACTTTTCTATACATCCTTTCTACCTTTTATGATGCTGCCTGAAAAAAAAATTGCTTCACTTTCGTTCTATTACAGGGGCAGTTCTGTTTGTTATAACTTTTTTATATATATTGTACTAGGCATTTCAATTTCTCCTTATGCATCAAGATATATTTTTTTAACTTGCATAAAATAAGTTGTGGGATATTTTTTGGCCCCCATAGAATTTTCAGTATATAATAGCTAGGATTATAATTGGCATGAGAGTTCCCCAATCCCACTGAGCGATGGAGCAAAACCAGGACACTCTATCAGGGAAGAAGACTGTTCCTGGAGTCAGAAGTAAAGCCTTGATAGATGAGTGATGAATCTGTTAAAATCAGTAATGACAGATGGCAGGCAAAAGAAAAAGAGTCGGAAATCTAAATGCAATTTTTCAGCTGTTTCCACATTGGTACAAAAGGAAATATTACCATAATACCCATAAAAAGTTTTTAAAGAACAACAAAAGAAAAAAAAAGTCATTTATTCCTTAAGATCCAAGAAACCAAAATTAGGGATGCTGAAATATCAAGACTGGGATATGATTA